TCCTTTCGAGGAGTGGCTGGTGGATTTGAACTGCCAGCCTTCTGATTAGCAGTCAAGTGCTTTAGCCACTATGCTACCAGAGCTCCTTGAGTTAGGCACCCCTAATTTCAAAGAGACATCTTTGCTCTTCAGCACTTTAAAGAAGTCTTTTGCAACAGATTTGCCCAGTGCAATATGTCGTCTGATATCTTGACTCTGCTTCCATTGGTGTTGATTGTGGAACCAAGTAATATGAAGTCTTTGGCAACTTCAATCTTTTCCCCATTTATTGTTATGCTGCTTATTGGTCCAGTTGTGAGGATTTTTGTTTTATTTAGGTTGAGATGTAATCCATACTGCAGCCTGTATGTAGTCTTTAATCTCCATCAGTAAATGCTTCAAGTCATGCTCACTTTCAGCAATCCAAGTTGTGTTGTCTGCATATTACAGGTTGTTAAATGATTCTTCCTTCAATCCTGATGACATGTTCTTCTTCATATAGTACAGCTTCTCGAATTATTTGCTCAGCATACAGATTGAGTAAGTGTGGTGAAAGGACACAACCCTAACACACTCTCTTCCTGATTTTAAACCATGTGGTATCCCTTTGTTCTGTCTGAACTACAGCTTCCTCGTATATGTATAGGTTCCTGAGTAGCACAATCAAGTGTTCTGGAATTCCCATTCTTCTCAATGTTATCCATAATTTGTTATGATCCACACGATCAAATGCTTTTGTATAGTCAATAAAACACAAGTAAACATCTTTCTGGTATTCTTTGCTTTGAGCCAAGATCCATCTGACATCAGCAATGATATATCTCATTCCATGTCTTCTTCTGAATCCAGCTTGCATTTCTGGAAGTTCTCTGTCAATATACTACTGTAACCATTTTTTGAATTATCTTCAGCAAGATTGTCCTTGCTTGTGATATTAATATTGTTTGATAATTTCCACATTCTATGGGATGACCTTTCTTTGAAATGGGTACAAATATGGATCTCTTCCAGTCAGTTGGCCAGGTAACTGTCTTCCAAATTTCTTCACATAGACAAGTGAGTGTCTCCAGGGGGTCATCTGTTTGTTGAAACATCTCAATGGGAATTCCACCAATTCCTGGAGTCTTATTTTTTGTCAATTACTTCAGTGCAGATTTGACTTCTTCCTTCAATACTATTGGTTCTTGATCATATGCCACCTCCTGAAATGGATGAACATCAACCAATTTTTTTGTACAGTGACTCTGTGTATTCCTTCCATCTTTTTTTGATGTTCTCTGCATCATTCAATATTTTGTTCATAAACCAAACCAAACCAAAACAAAACAAAACAACTCACTGTTGTCAAGTAGATCTCAACTCATAGTGACCCTTCTTGTGTTTCTGAGGTGGTATCTCTATGGAAGTATATTGCCCAATCTCACTTCTGAGGAGTGGCTGGGTGGGTTTGAACCACCAGCCTTCTGGTTAGCAGTTGCTTATAGAATCTTTGAATATTGCAACTCAAGGCTTGAATTTTTTTTTTTCAATTCTTTCAGCTTGTGAAATGCTGAGCATGTTCTTCCATTCCAGTTTCCTAACTCCAGATAGTGCACATTTCATTACAATAATTGACTTTTTTCTGGAGCTGCTCTTTGAAATTTTCTGTTCAGCCCTTTTATCTTTTCATTTCTTCCATTTGCTTTAGCTACTCTTTGCAGCTAGGATATCAGGATGGACTACAAATCTACAAATACTACTTGGGTAGCTACTGTACCTCTAGCTCTCAGTTGAATGCTCTGGTGGGAATAGGAAAAAAAAAGTATTATTTAATTCTGTTAAAGATCTCAGTGGTATTCTTTCATTTCCCAGAGCTTTTTTTTTTTTTAACACCAATTCCTTCAGTGCAGCTTAGACTTCCTCCTCCAATACTATCAGTTTTTGATCATATGCTACCTCCTAAAATGGCTGAACATTGACAATTTTTTTTTGGTACAGTGACTGTATATCCCTTTCATCTTCTTTGGATGCTTCCTGCATTGTTCAATATTTTGCCATAAACCAAAAATAAAATAAAATAAAATAAAACCCAAACTCACTGCCTTCAAGTCCAATCAGACTCATAGTGAACCCTCCTTGGGTTTTTGAGTTGATATCTTTATGGAAGTAGATTGCCCCATCTTCCTTCCAGGGAGTGGCTGGGAGGTTTGAACCACCAGCCTTCTGGTTAGGAGTCAAATGCCTTAGGCACTATCCCTCCAGAGCACCCACCCATTCAATATTGCAACCCAAGGCTGGAATTTTTTCTTCAGTTCTTTCAGCTTGCAAAATGCTGAGTGTGTTCTTCCCTTTTGATTTCTAACTCCAGGTTCATTATAAAACTTTAATTTGTCTTCTTGAGCCAATCTTTGAAATCTTCTGTTCAGATCTTATACTTCATCATTTCTTCCATTCAAGCATTCACTTGTTTATGCCAAGAAATTTAGAAGACAGCTACTGGCCTATAGACTGGAAGAGATCCATATTTGTGCCCATTCCAAAGGAAGGTGATCCAAGAGTTTAAAATGGAGTCTTGTCAGTAATTACCATGCTAATTCCCTCTAGCATCTTAGTGCTTGAAAAACTTGGTACAGCAGTTTGAGTTAGGGATTCTATTGCTCTGAACAGCTCACTGAGTCAGAGCACACCAAACTCAGGGGAGTAGAATTAGAAAGGAGAAAGGGACAGGGGAACAAAATAACAAGATTAGGAGATCTATCCTGCAGAGTGCCAACAGGCACCTAAGAAAGGCCATCAGAGACCTCCTTGGGGGAGCATTGATGAGCAGGTGAGAAAGGCCATCCAAGACCTCCCTGGGTTAAGGAAGAAGACACACCGTACCAGAATACCAGCGATTACCCCAAGGATTTACCTTCAGCACCTGATTTTATTGGTAACTTGGGACATCTAGGTGCAAACAGGCACATCCAGTGCTGCCGAAACCTGAGCAGAGAGTCCATTGGTGCTGCAAGAGGGTGAGCCCAGGGAGGTGCCCCCACAGTAGATCACCAATCAGGCTTAGTGGCATTGAGGGGCCTGCACTTGACTTTGTCAGTAATATTGGGACTATAGGGTACAAGTGGGCACTGGCCTGAGTCCACTGCTGCTGAAACTGAGCAGGTTTTTGGCCCCACAGGTGGGTGGACCCAGAGAGGAACTCCTGTGGTGGATCATGGAGCCAGACAGTTGTCTTGGATTGGCTTTTT